CCCCCCTGTTTTTTAAAAGCGGAAGAGTCATAGCAACTGACTCTTTCCCAGAACACTGACTCTTGCCCATGAACAGGTTTTGACAAGCTGGAATTTTCCAACAAAACTGCTCAGAGCTAAATATCTTCTGGCAAAAAAGTGCAATGCACTGAGCCCAACTATACATTCTGTGATACATGGTGTTTGGCAGCTTCTCCATTTCATATTCGCTGGAAAGCCAAGGGCTCTTAAATCTTTTTTAGACTGTGGTTTACAATTGCATCAGCTACAGTTGTAGCTCATGTTCTGTCTTGCTTTCAGAGGCAGTTCTTCAGAGACTGAGTTCTTGGTTAAGAATCAGATACGGAGCCATCTTATTTTCTGGCAGCTTTAGTTCTACATTGCCCAAGAATTCACTGGCACCAGTGCTCCCTTTGGTCACAAGCTATTATAAGGGGTTTGAATGCCTTTGCTTGTATTAAAGTCTGATATAGGGATCTAGACAAATGCAGAAAAACAGTGGGTACGTTTTATTTTTCACCATTACAGGATTGTTGTATTTTGTGAACACATTTAATAGCAATCTTCTTTTGGAACAGATTTCAGTTAAGTTAACTGATAGAGATGGGTCTGAGCTAAAATCCTGGATCCAAACAGAGTAGAACCTTAGGGAAATTCAAATCCAGGAAACTGTTTCTCACAATGATCTCTAATCATGTTAGAGGATTTAGCTGTTTCTGAATGCTGCTGTTTTTCCAGAGGTGCTTTCATTTTAAAATATTCCCAGACAAATTCTACATTTAGATGGTGTTTGAAGCTGAGAATACGTATCAGTAGTTTAGGGAAAACTATATTATAGGCCTGTTGTAATTATCCCAAACCCTATCAGAGGAAGGATCGTCAAGAAGTTAGGGTGCTAGTCAGGGATTCGGAAGACCCAGTTGCAATTTCTTGCTCTGTCACAGACTTCCCATGTAGCCTTAGGTAAATCACTTAATGTGTCTGTGCTTCAGCTTCCTATCTGTAAAATGGGGATAAAATAGGGATGGTGTGAGGATAAATGCATGAGCAACTGTGAGGCTCACTGTGAAGTTAGGAATCTAAATACCTTTGAGGATTTGGGCCTCAGAGACTAACAGGGGACATTAGAGAGTACCTTAGAGAGAAGCTTTATAAACCCAGGATCTTCAGAATTAAAGTCATATCAAAATAATCATCACACTGTTGAAGGCTACAGTTTCTGAGCTGATTGGGGGAGAATAGCTCACTGTTCATCCAGGAGGACAGCAAATAATTTTGCAGAAAACAGTTGGATGCAGAGTTCAGAAAGCAAAGTGGTTCCCCTTGCTTTTTTCCCCATGTAGATTTAGTTCACTTGACTGAGTACTCTGGCAGTTGCCTCAGCAGTATTATGTGCAGGTTGGGAACAGAACATTTACAAAATGAGATGCAATCACACAGACAAATTCCTAATTGTTTGCCACTGTGACCCATCAAGAAAATGAAAATGTTCATTATGTACAGCTGAAATGGTTTGAACATGCTGGAGAGGCTTGTAAGTTGTCTAACGTTGTTTGCTTTGTTTTCTCTGTTTGTTTGTGGTTTTGAAATAAAGCCTTTTTATATTTTGCACTCTATTTGGCTTTTTGTATATGCTAGACTCTTCCGCTGTCAGAACAACCATAGGGAATCGGCCTATAGCAGGCTTTAATGTGCGGAATTTCATTTTCTAATTTTGGCTGCAAAAATGGGAAGGCAAATCTGATTAGTGGGAATTGATGTGATAAGGTGGACAGAAGCTCAAGCTTGAGCACATCAAAGATTCACTGGGATCCTGTCTTTCACATGGCTAGTCTGGGCAGGGTTATGGAAGGGAAGGGGAAGCTGTTGCAAAGGAAGCTATCCTGGGGAAAGGTGTGCCCTCTCTTCTCCTCTCCCAGCTGGCTGAAGTTGGGAAGGTCTCGGCTGGTTATTACCCAGTAGTTTGAATGAAATTGTTCCGGTTTTGAGTCTGTGTTTTGGAACTAAAGCGAACCCTAGAGAAAGGGAGATGAAGAGATCTGTATTTGGGACTTTATTTTTCCTTCCTCAGCTGGTGAGTCCTGCATTACCAACCTTAAGTGTTCAACAATCATGAGTTAGGCTCCCCAGAGTTTTGAGGCTTAAAAAATAATGATAAATTTGGCATTCATTTTATTTGCCTTCTTGTTTCTGACCTTTTTGGTTCCCCTCAGATCATGTTTTCAAACTTTTCCCTGCAACCACAAGGGCTAGAAACTTTATTAAAAAAATGAAAGCTGAGATTTTCATGTGATCCCTTGACTCCAGGAGTTGGGGCTTTAAGTCAAACAACAGATATTGCAAGAGTTGGCAATTCTGAGTCTGCACATTGGTTCACATATGGGCTGAGAAAAGCACTTACCACATCCTTAATTTTATGAAAATGGGGATGTGGATTTCCTGAGAAGCTTAATTAGCCCTAATGGAAGAACTATTGGGAGCACCTATCATTAGTAAATAAATTCTTCTAGAGGTATTTGCTGTTTATTTATCTGGGCACAATATTGGTTGACAGACAGGTTTATATATAAATATTTATACTAATCTGGGATATTATATTGCTGATGCCTCAGGAAACAGTTACTTGCTTGGGGAAACAGGAGGTTCTTACTGTATGCAAATTGGATGCTGGGATTCACAGAACTTTATCACATTCTTCTTTAATGGTAGGAAGAAAGTGGGGCTGTCTGTTTATTTCATTAGCGTTAAGGTGGAATGAGCAGGGAAGACTTGGTCTCATCTATTGGTCCAACTCCTTATGGAAGGGTTGACTGTGTTAGCTTCACAGTAGTTTTACTCTGGGGAATGGCAGACTGATGGCTTAGTACGTTATTTTGTGAATCTTTCTACAGTTGCAGCCTTTATTTCTGTCTGTTACAAATGATTAATGTGAATGTCTTGGGGCATTAATCTCAAAAAGCAATAACCATAGAGTTTGGTCATATTTTTTACAAGCACTTCACATTCTCGATGAGAATGAATTTCAGGAGCTGAAGAACTACGTTTCCCTTTGGCAAAGACAGGGAAATGTGAAAGCCTGCTTTGCAAATGTGCTAGTATCCAGTAGTTCCCTCTGAATCCTGCCCCAGGGAAGAGGAGAGGGACCAGCTGACCTACTAAATCTTTTCCATTTCTAATGTCTATGAATCTGTGTTTATGTGAATTATTTGATTATAACAACTCATGCACCCATGATGACAGCATCAGCAGTGTGATATGATGCTTCCATCTGCAGTTCTATACATTTTCTTTTCCAAACTACAGAATGGTGATATATTTCCATTCTAGGTACCAGCATCAAACCTCATATGAATGCAGTTAGAAATTGTTGGCAGAGGGCATTGGCATCCCAGAAAAGTACATCATTAAATGTCAGCTGATAGTGTAAAATATTAACTGATAATGTACCTTATGCCCTCTCCTGTTAAGGGATTACACTGTTATATATGGACAGGAAAAAGAAATCCCATAGACATACCTGTGCCCTCAGAAGAATGCCATTCACTCTTATACAGTTTTGTGAGCCATAGCATTTC